AAATAAAGAATTATATATATTTTATAATTTCAAATATTTCATATAAATATTATATAATTATATTTTTTAAATGAATTTATTTTTTAAATATTGGTTTTAAATTAGATTTGAATTTGTAATATCTGAAAATTATTATTGTAAAAAATATTATTTATCCAATATTTTGAATATTTTTCTCTCAAGATGTACATTGGATACCTTAGATTAACATTAGATAATATTCAATTCATATTAGATTTATATTAGATTTCAATTTTTTCTTATTTTGTAAAAATAAATAATATTTTTTCCCAATTAAAATCTTGTTTTAATAATAAAATAAATTTTTTTTAAAAAGATTAATATTGTCAAAATTAGCAAAAGTCATTAAACTATTTATTTCTAAATTATTTATTTTTAGTTAGCAGTAAGTATTTATAAACACCTGTTCAAGAAATTTTTCTCTATCCTTAATGGGTAATAAAATAACAGCCAATGTAGCTATTATATGATCTAAAAATGGATCATTTAATGAAGATATGCTTAATTTTCCATGTTGTTGTGATATTGGAGTTTGAACATAACTGCGAGCCCAATTCATTACTCCACCAGGACATCTCAAGATATGGTTCAATATAAATAAATGATCTTGCCAAGTTGCTACTCTCAATAAGATTGCTATTAATCGTGTAAGCCATTCTCTAGTATCTGTTACAAATTTACCATCTTTTAATAATTTTCTTTGAAAATTGAATAATATAGTTATGCACATTCTAATTTCCACTAATTGTGGAATTGTTTGAGAAGGTACATGTATTGGTAATAAATTTACGGGTGCATTATGAGGAAGATTTATAAATTCTTTACAAGATATGCAGACTCTTTGAATATAATATTCAATTTGAAATTTTAACATTTCTGCTTCATAACAATATAATGCTTGAGTATTGTGTAATAGATCTTTTATTGTTAATAAATTTCGAGTTAATGCAGCTAATGTCTGCTGATTAAAACGTGCAATATAATATTCATGTGTAGCAACAACAGGATTTCCATCTTGACATTCTCCTGTTTCTTTAATACAGGCTTTATCTAAACACCATAATTGTTTTTGCATTTCTCTACAGGATTTTTTTAAAATTTCTAATTCATGAGAATTGATAATTAAATTATTTCTTACACGAAGATAATTCATTAAAAGCTCATGTAATCTATGTTGCTGTCTAATTGCATTACTTCTAAGTTGTATTTCCGCAAATTCTGAAATAAACATATCAATCCATGCTAATTCCTGATTGAAATATAATGATGTTAATTGGCTCTCTGTAAATGGTATAATTTCTTTAAAAGAAGTATGTATATCATCTACTTGATTTATGATAGAATCTGATTGATTTTTTGTCTGTCTATCGTATATAAAGTTCTTTGAATTTGATATATTTGAATCTTGAGATAAATTTGGTGTTATACTTTCATTATTAAAGCCATCAAGTGTATTATCTACTAAATCTATTGTAGAAATCGATGTTATAACTTCTTCCATTTTCTCATTTAAATTATTCCATACTGATGTTAAACTATTTCCAACTTCATTATTAATTTTGGTCTAAAATTTATTAAAAAATATATTATAATTACTTATAATATGTTTAAAATATATTTGAATATAAAAAATAATATTCAAATTAAACATTTTCTCAAAATCGTTTTTAAAATTTTATGAATTATTTCTTTATGAAAAATTGTATTATTATCATTAATTTTTTTTAAATAATAAGTTATTATAAAAAATTCTTTAAATATAATTTTAATTAATATTATAATTTTGATATATTGATTGATTTATAATATTGATAATTTCTTTAATTTAAATAAAAAAAATTAAATTAAATACTTTGTCATTTATAGTTTGTAATCCTTCTGTTTCTTCTGAAACTATTTGAACTGATTGTTTTTCATAGAGTTCAGTGTCAATTGCAGCTGAATGTAATTCACTTTCCATATTTTCAACACCTTCTCCTTTTGGATAATTTGTAGGAGATTCTTCAAGAACACATTCAAATTCTTCCAATGTTGGAACATCTGGTATCTGTTGTTCCATAGAAAACTTGGATTTTTCTTCTCTTTTTTTCTAAAAGTATATATTTTTTAAATATAATTTTTAATGTTATAAAACAACAAATTTCAAAAAAAAATTTTTATATGTTATATATATACATATTAAACATATTTAAGTTTTTATAAATTATAACCTAAACTTATATTATTAATAAAAATAAATATTTTAAAATCTATACATTGATGATTTAAATTCTACTATTAAACAATATTTATTATTTATTATATGATACTAATGTGATATTATATACTATATAAAGATATAAAAGTAAATATTTTCCTTTTATGAAAAATAAAATATCTTAAATCATTGTCATTAAAGATAAAATAATAATTAATCAATATGATTACATAAAAATATTAAATAAAAAGATTAAAGAAAAATATTAAAAAATAAATATTCACCTTTCGTTGTTTTGGTACTTCCATTTTATATAAACACAATAAATTTTGTGTAAATTTCTTTTATATATAAATGTTGAATTTATCACATAGCTTTAACATACAAAATATGAAAAATATGAGAATTATATTTATTACACAATAACAAATTTTCACAATACTATTCTAAAATATTTCTGAATATTAATATTACTGATTGATTACGCATTCTCTATTTCTTGCGTAACCTATCATCTGTCAAAATATACAATTATAATTTCAAATTGGCAGTTTTCATATTACAATTATTTAATACTAATTTTTCATTTAAAAAATTAATTTAATAAATTAATATTACTAAAACTTGTATAAAAAAAATTCTGCGTAATGATTAGTATGCAATAGCAGACATAATTTTTTTGTTTATCGATAGAGTTACATGCAAATAAAATGCTGCCAGCTGTTCTAGAATCACAGGTGGTACAGACATATAGAATAGACATTATAGAATTCTTTCTTTATGAGAATAATCTATAGATAATATATAAAATAAACATGATATGCAATATTTTTTCGTGTCATAGAAATCATAAATCACTAAGAATATTATCATTTACTATTTTTATGTGATATTATCAGTATAAAATAAAATTATATGTTACAATATTAGTAAGTGATTGAAATTAAAATTAAATTTTAGAATTTTTAAAAAATTTATAAATTTAGAATAAATAACATATAGATCTATCTATTTGCAATATAATACTTTATATTGCAAAAAAATATAGAATTCTATATTTTTGTAAGTAATATATTTATTTATTTATTATTATGTATATTAATGAATATGTATGAATGTGTTTCATATATGCATATATGAAAATTAATATTGAAAGTTATTTGATGATTATTTAATATCGAAAGTTAAATACTAAATCTTTTTCACATTAATATATATTTCAAAAAACAGCATTTACATTTTATGAATGATGGAATTGATCCATCATATCGCCGTAATTATTTCAATTTATATATATATATATATATATATATATAATTATATATTAAAAAATAATATATAATAAATAATATAATAATATATAATAAATATATAATAATAAAATTATATATTAAAAAAAAATTTATATATTAAATTTATGTATATAAAAAAAAAATTAAAAAATAAATCGTGATATTTTTTCGAGTGTGTAATTGTTTTATTAAAAAAAAATATAAAACAAAATTTTGTTGAAAATTTTTTTTATTTAATAAAAAATTTAATTTAATAAAGAATTTTTTTAATATAGAGATTTCGATGTATATATGTATAATAATATGTATATATTATTGTATGTATATAATATACATACAATATATAATATACATGTATATAATGTAATATTTAATGAAGCAATATTTAATCAATATTTAATAAAGCAAATAACTTTCATTAAGAATTTCAAAAACAAGTTTACATTTCATTTTATTAAATGAATTTGAATTCATTTAAATGAATGAAATGAATATGCATATTAGACAATTGAATTGTTCAAGAGCTTTTATTTTTTTTTAAGTTTTGTAATATCGAACTAAGATATAATCCATTAATTAAAAAAATATTTTAATACATTTTTTCTAGTATTCTTAAAAAGATTGAAATAACAAAAATTGAAATAAAATAAATTTTTAAATTACTATTTATAAAATATGATTTTTCAATTATTATTTAATAATTGAAAATTATTATTCTGTTGTTTAAACTAATTTCATGTACAATGTTTTAAAAATATAAGATTATTCATTAATTGGAGATTTCTGAATGGTTTTATTAACAAGTTATTAACAAAAAAAATACTAGCTAATCACAGAACGCATAGTATAGTTGAATATTATATATTATATATTATATTGAATATTATAATTTATTTATTGTTCATAATATAATTTGATATAATTTTGTATCGAAAAAAAATATTTGTTATATTCAAACACTTCATTATATATTGCTAGAATTTATTTATGGTCGATCGGCGGTATAAACAATGCTATGCCGTTTGATTAGGTTAGTGTTTTTTGTTAACTCGTTAACAAAATCGAAAATATATTTTTCCAAAGGAAAATATTACTTAAAATTACATCAGGAATCTTTAGTTAATGAATGTTTCTATGTTTTGGGAACTCTATATATAATTTATAAATTAAACTTTCGAAAAAAAAAATCTTCAAAGTTCTAATCCCTAGAAATAAAGTTTTAAATCCAATAAAGTCTAAAAAAAAGATATATGTTTTATTTTTAACAAGAGGTAGTCAGAATTATCAAAAATAAAGAAATTTGAAATATGATATTGTCAAGATATTTTCTTTAATAAATATAAATATATACAATGATGTAATGTATAATATATATATATTATAATATATAATATATATATATATATATATATATATATAAATGTATAAAAATCTAGTATTATTAATTCTCATATAATATGTTTAAAAATAAAAAATAAAATATAGTTTTATATGATATTATTTTTTTCTGCAATAGGGAATTTTTCTTGCAACTCTAATTTCAAGCTCGAATTGAAAATCGCATTATAAAGCTAAATACTGTGGTGAATGGTATAGATTTATTGATCACGACAAAATGGCTGCAATTAAAACGAAGAAGCGTAAAGTTTCTAAAAAAACAAAAAAAGCATGGCGTAAATATACAGATACAAAAGATGTTGAAAAATTTTTGGAAAATTCACAATTAGAAGAAAGATTAGGTTCTTTCGCGATTCACAAGGATTCAGAATTGTTTAGTATTTCTACAGCACCTGAAATACTTTCAAAGCAAAAACGTCGAGAAATATTAAAATTGAAAGAACCACGATGTTTTAATATTTTAAAACCTCATACAGCTGTTCCAGATCCAATAACAAAAAGAAACCGTGTAAGAACTAAAGATGAAAGAAAAAATGCATTAGTTTTAAAAAAAGAAGCTATCAGAAAATCTCAAAATATTTTGACATTAAAAGAAAAGTTAAGATTAAAAAACAAAATGATTGCAGCAAAAAAAAAATTAAATAAATCAAAAAGAGATGAATTTAATACAAATATATGGAAAGAAAAAATTATGAAAGACATTAATACAGATTGGATGTCTTCAGACACAATTAGACATACATTAACATATTTTGGAATAAAAAAAAAGAGAATACCTTCTTCTTTACACAAAAAACCTTCTAATATTCCAGCAGTTGAAGCTCCTCATCCAGGTATATCTTATAATCCTTCGTTTGAAGATCATCAAAAGTTATTACATGAAGTGGCTCAAAAAGAAATGGAACTTATAAAAGAAGAAGAACATCTGAACAGAGTTACCACAAAAATGTTCAAAAAGGTATTATTTTATTAATTAAATTTATAAAATTAAAAATAAATAGTTATTATATATTAAAATTATATTCTAGGTTTCACCTAAAGAAAAAGAAAGTAACTTGATAAAAGAAATGTCAGAAGGTCTCAAATTAGAAGATAATCAAGATTTTAATGAAGATGAAAATAATGATCCAATAGTAAAATCTATAAATCCACCTGTTAAAAATCAAAAAAAAACTCGTGTGCAAAGACGTAAACAAAAAGAACAGAAAAATTTGGTACATAAAAAGCAACAAGAAAAAGTAGAGAAAAAAAAGATTTCAGATATATATAAATTAAGATTATTAGATAGACAGTTAGCTGCTAAAGAAAAGAAAGAAAAAGTATTACAAGAAAAGAGATTAAAAAAGAAAATACTTAAAACAATGGGTACTAAAACTCTCAGTAAAGTTAAATTTGAACCTTTAGAACTTGATTTTAAATTAGGTTCAGAATTAACTGGAAATTTGCGGAATTCTGAACCAACTGGTAATTTATTGAAAGATAGATTCAAATCTCTTCAACAGAGAAATATCATTGCTCCTACTAATATCAGATTGTAAGTATAAGATATTTTATAATTAATTTATAAAATCATAGAAAATCATATAAAATTATATATTTTTCAATTATACATATATTTATTTTAATCACATTAATTTTATATTTTTTTAAATTTCATATTAATTATATATTTTTTTATAATTTCTTTTTATTAAATATTTAAATTATAATGATATATTCTTTTGTTACAGAAAACGAGACAAAGCTAAAGTAAAACGTTTTATAAAATCAGACCATAAAATTGATGTAACAAAAGTAAAATAATTTATAATATATATTTTTAATAAATAGGTTAAATAAAAAAAATAATAAACTTATTTAATTAAATATCAGATTTATCTCTTGAGACCATAAATTTTGTAATTTAAGTATAGACAAAATGAGCAAATAGATGGAAAAACACAGATATAAGTCAAAAATTGAATAATCAGCAAAATGTCTCGAATGAATTTATTAAGTGTTTTGGATTATTTTAAATCTATGAACGAATATATATAGTATATAATATATAGTATAGAATACAAATATATAATAATACTTACTTTAGCGTTCACAATTAGAATCAAAAATAGAATCGAAAATAAAATTCTTATTCGATTAAATGATTTCTACGAAATTCAATTGAATGAAAGAAAAGAATAAAATATGAGATATTAATGTGAAGTATTAATAGTCGACACATGCAAAATGGTCGAGTTTCATTTTTCAGCGTTAATAGTTTATAAATGAGCAAAAAAATATATATATATATAAGTGAGATATCATATATTCAACAAAATACATAAATTCAAGCATTAAATGTTTAATTTGATAACGTCAAAAACAATTATAAAGTTTTTAAAAATTAATAAGTATAGCGATGAATATTTAAATACTTAATATTTAAGTAGGCAAAAAGCTAGATACAAAAATAGGCATCATTATAATATTAAATAATATTGCTTATATTAGAAAATAAAATATATTAAAATATAATTATAAATATAAATATAAAATCTATAATGTAATATATTAGAGTGTTCCATAAGTTTCTTTCGCACCACGCTAAGAATGACTTTGAGTGGCTATATTTATGTAAACATGCAGGTTTATTTATTTGCCGTCTATAGTATCTTTTTTAGTCGTCTCAAAGCTTTTTTAAAGTATATTTCGTTGGTGATATAGTCTCTTTTAAAACTTTTTTCTATATTGTTCAATATAAATAGTCAAAGGAAGCATTTGTGCTATGTTATGCTTCATTGCTTTAAAAAAGATAATAGTGCAAATGATACTGCAGACAAGATTTGTACCGTTTATGAGAGTAGTGCTATGATTATTACGACCGTCCGCAATTGGTTTAAGAGATTTAGAGTTGACAATTTTGATTTGAAAAATGGAGACCGCAGCAACAACGGATACGGATTATCAAGGCTTATCAAGGCCATGCTTGCTGAAAATCCGCAATATAGTATATAAGATATAATGAATGTCACTAACATTCTCAGAACAATGGTACATAATCACCTAATCAAGATAGGATATATCATGTGAAGTTTGAATTCCACAGCTCTTGATGGAGAAAAACCGTGTCTCTACGTGTGGTTTATTTCTCCAGCGACATGAAAGAGATACTTTCTTAAAGAGGCTTGTCATTGCAGACGAGATTTGGATTTTATATCAAAATGTGCATTGAAAACGCATTTTGTCCTTAGGATAATAGACCTTCAATTGTCATAAAGTCTGGACTTCACCCGAAGAAAGTTTTTTTATCCATTAAATCAATCTTTGGTGGGATTGGAAATGTGTATTCTACTATGAACTCCTTTCGCAAGGTGAAACCATCAATTCTGCCAAATACTGTAATGAGCTTGATAAATTAAAAGCCATAGCAGAAAATTGAAAGTTATAATAGAAAAATGGCCAAAATTATCGTTTTTCATCAACAATAATGCAAAACGGCATGTTGCATTGACTGTAAGACAAAAGCTGTTACAGTTTGATTGAGACGTTCTACCGTATCTTCCGTATTTCTCAGATCTTGCTCCATCCGATTATTACTTGTTCCTGTCATTAAAAAATTCTCCATGATAAGTTTCAATTTGTAAGTGAAATAAAAATACATTTCGCTGAATATTTTGCAAGCAAGCCCCAAAAATTTTGGAAAGAGGCAATAAAGGCTTCCTGAGAGGTGGAAGAAGATGATAGAGGAGAACGGTTCATATATAATGCAATAAATCAATCTTAAACAATAAATATTGTATATTCATTTCGTATCAAAAAAATAAAGAAATTTATGGGACACCCAATATAATTGATGTATAATGAATCAAAAATATATTATATTATTTATATAATATAATTAATAATTATTATATAATTAAATAATTAATATATTAATATTAAATTGGAATGGAAATGATTAAATTCATGATTATAAAACTTTATGAATAGTTTTCAAAATAGATTATATTGGAATGATATTAATACAGTCAATGTATATACAAAGTTTATCAGTTTAGTATATAAATAATTTAATTAAAAAATCAAAAGTAGAGTTATTGTAAAATATAATATCGATAGGATAATATTAAAGTAAAAATTGATAGATAGAGATATTGTTTGTAGAAATTAATAATCAGTTTTAGTTTTTTTAAGTATGATTTAATGAATAGGCAGTTGATTCATTGAAAGTAAATTGATGGCGCAATAAATTCTATAATCAGTATACATATATTAGAGAATTCTCATAATGACTTAAATGTTTCTCAAAATTATAATGACATCTCTATCATTTCAATCCTAAAAAATAATAATGATAATGAATATGCTCGAAGCGTACTATAATGTTACAATTGCAATAAGGTTTATCATGAGATTAACATTTGTAAGAAAAATTGAATGAAATAATAAGGGATTGAAAATTCAACTTTGTGTTCCAAAATTCTTTTGTGACTGTTTTTTCAAATTGTTCGCGTTCGCACGGAAAATGAAACATGTTATATGTTCATCCATAATGAATTGAGATTTTCGGAAGCTCTATTCTTTGAAAAGCATCTTATCTATATTCCAACTATAAACAATTTACAACCAAATACTTTATGAGAGAGGATTATAGAATGGAAATCATTACTACGAGTTTAGAAATAAAGAAAATTTTATGATTTCTCTAATTTAAATAACTAAATATTATGTTCGAATATCATTAAAGATTTGAGGAAAAATGAATTTCCATTTAATTGGTATCAAATATCAAATATTATTTGTACATAAGACGAAAGCAAACTTATAATTACTTTTGATTGAAATTGGATTAAATCTCTGGATAAATCGCAGAGATCAAATGTTGTTAAGATGAAAATTGAATAACAATTATGGAGATAATGGAGATATAATTCTTAACAAAATAATTCTTAATAAGAGTAATAGAAATTCAGTTTTTATTATTTTATTATTTTTATTATTATTATTATTTATATAAAGAATGGATGAATCGAAGAGTAAATTTAATCTGTTGAAGAAGATTTCTTTTTAAATTTTGATAACAATTCGTGCTGATTTTTAAGGAATTTTTTAATAATTTTAGTGATATCATATTATCGATTTTATTTTTTTTATTGTAATCTTTTTTCAAAATTAAATCTTCAATCACTATTGTTGGATTATGATATTCAAAAGCTGATAAACTGATTCTTGGGAATGTAATTTAGTGTAATTTAAAATAGCGCTCAATTTTTTTTTGAAGTTATGTGATTTTTAGAATAACGCATTTTTTCTATTTATTATATATTTTTATGTTTAGATTTGAAGTCATTTATTTTTCTTGATCATCAATCTCTATCTTTGAATGAATCTTCGTGATCCAGAGATCTAAGGATAATGTTAAGATAAAATCAATAGATCGAGATAAAGTTATTTAACTAAAGGTAGTTGCAAACAGCTTGGAATTAGAAGATTTACATTTAAGATAAATTAAACAAGGAACGTAAGAAATTTACGATGGAATTAAATGTTCATGCTAAAGAATAATTTAAAAGAAAATTTCATATATATATTTATTGATTGGAACAAATCGATATTGATGTGCACTCTATGATGGTCACAACTTTCATGTTTCAAATTCTGTAAATTCAATTCTGTGACTATAAATAGGATAAAAAATAACTTTCTCGAATATTAATGACATTTCTTTAATGACTAAATAAGATAGAGTAAGAATTGAGGATCAATGCTATCTCTTATTTGGAATAAACGAAAGATATTTAAGATATCTTTAGTATTCAAGAGATATGATCACTGGTAATCAATTTTTATCCTATCTCTATCCTACGATTTGTTTTTCTTGATTATACACTTGTCGCGCATAGACGAGGAATATAATTGAATACATCATTCATTCAAAATTATAATATATATTGACTTTTTAATATAAAAGATATAGATATTTTTGATTTTAAATTTTATATGCGTCTTTTTCGATAATTCTGATATCCTTCTCTTTATTTTCTCTTTATTTTTTGCTCATAAATTGCTATAATCAATATTTTTAATTTGTATTATTTGTTGATTTTATCATTAAAAAAATATTTTAAAGTATATAGTTAATCATAAAATATATGATTAAATTTAATCAAATTTGAAAATAATTAAATTCTCGTATGCAAGATAGTGTATGTTTTTAATTGAATTTATTTATATATATATATAATTTTCGAATAACTTAACAAAGAAGAGAAATAAATATGAAGAAGTAAAATAAACGCAGCATGTAAATCAACGATGGTCGAGATCTGGCAAAGAAATGCCGAATTTTGATTTAAAATGAAAAAAATGAATATATAATTTTAACGATAAATACTAAATTATTATTATTGTTATCATTAAGTAATTTCAATCATCCAAAGATTATTTTATTTATTATTCTCCGATTTAAAGAATTACTTAAACTGCAAATAGTTATTATAATCCATTGATATTAATCCACCCATTATATATTTTCGCTACTCAAAGTTCTACAAAATATTGATTTCTACAAGATATTAAAAAAACATCAAAACATAAAATGATCATTTTTTAAATAATTACCAAAATTTTATTATTAATTATTATTTTTTATATAATTATATTTTTTATATAATTATTTTATAAATATTATATATTATATAAATTTTATTATTAATTATTATTTTTTATATTTTTTTTATATTTATTAATTATAAAATTTTTAATTTATTTATTATTATTCTAGAAATATGTAATATAAAATTATACATTTCTACTTACATATTTTTATCTTGTCCAATTAATTACATAACAATAAATAATATATTTTTATTTATTTTCTAAAAGATTTGAATACAATCATGATTATGCATTATAGTTATAAATAAACACACTTACTAAAATAATAAAGAAGTTGATAGGAACAAAAAATATTGAATGATAGATCTATTATTCATCTATGCTATCATAAACAAGATTAAATTTATTGATTATATTAAAAAATAGCTAAATTCATTAAGTAATAATATATATTTCAATAGTCATAACCTAATCACACTCTTAATATTCATATTTTTAAAATTTTTACATCATTTATACATCAATTATACACACAAATATTTCATATATATATTTAAAATTTAACTTTTCACATTCTTAAAATGTAAATATATCTTTTAAATGTTGGCAAGATAAAATTAAGTTGTAATATGTGTAATAACATTGCTCAATAAATATGACCAAACCAAAAAAAAAACCGAGGAAGCGAAAGCCAAAAATAGATGATCCTTATGCAGAAGAACAAAGAGAAATTAGAATTAAAGCGTTAAAAGAAAAAAGACAAAAAATAATAGATGAAGTTAAACTTTCATTAGAATCAAGAAGAAGAGATAAACTGATTCTTCAAAATGCATTTTTTGATAAAGAAAGTAAACTTCGAAAGAAAGCACTTAGGGATTCTCAAAAAGAAGGAAGTGAAAAGATTATGTTAGAGGTGCTAAACACATATATATATATATATGCAATTCTTTATTCTAAAAAATATATTCTATAAATATATTTCTTTCAAAGAATATTTATTTTCCACTTTAATATTCTAACTAATTATATATATAATTATTCTAATTAAAAATATTTATACAGTTCTTTATACAATTATATTAATATATAATATAATAATTAATAAATTGAATTACTTTTTTTTATATTAAAAAATAATTGGTTCAGTAATCCTGAAATAGAAAAGAATATGTATATGCACGTATGTGAAATATACAAGATTATTAATTTTTATATGTAAAATTAAATTTAATATTATTATTAATAATATAAGATATTTATTATTGTATAGATAATTTTACAACAAACATATCATTATATAATGTTTTTCTTTAGATTTTCAATCACGTAAAATTTTTTAATTAAATTTGCAATATTTACATTGCAGATTCGCGAAGATTTGAGTAAAATTATCGAAACTGGTATAAAATGTGTATACACATCTGTCATTATACCAGAAAAGATTAAGTACGATGGCCGATCAATTCTATCAATTAAAGGTGTTAAATATAGATTGAAAAATAATTTGCATATTGTGGGTTGGGGAAAAGAAGCAGTTACAATGAGCTCAGCATTCGAACGAATTGTCGGTAAACAATTAAGGAAAGGTTGGTTGGTGGTGCCAAGAAAATCCATTTTCATGATGTGGAGTTTCCCAGAAGCGTTTCCTCCTTTGAATAGTCGTATTACTTACATTGAAGCTGGAACTGATGGAAATCCTGATGAAAAATCAGTGAGAGCTACGAGACAAATTATAAATTACGTTAAAAAATTGAAGAAGAGAGATTTATTGATAGTTATGCTCTCACAAGGAATTGACGATCTTCTTTGTTGTCCCCGAGATAGTATTACATTAAGAGATAAGCTTAGAGTGTTAACTAGATTAAACAAAGCAGAAGCAACTCCTGACGAAATAAATATTGTAAGAAATAAGCTTTCTGCAATTAGAGGTAAGAAGATAATATTTTTAACGATAAATTTTTTAAATAATTTAAATTCCACTTAGAATTATTAAATCAGTTGAATTAAATTGTAAATTCTTAATTATTAAATACGCGGATATGACAGAATTGAAATTGATTTTTATCCAAATAGAAATAATATATTTAATATATAAAATAATTATGTATCTGTAATATAAATTCTAAGCATTAATTGATTAGATATTTAATTAATTCAAATAATCGATTAAATTGTTTATATAAATAGTTAGTTTTTGATTATTTTTATGATTAAAAAAAAAATAAAAATATTTTGAGAAATTATAAA